TTTTTTCTTTTTTTCTATTATTTATTTTGTATTTTGGCATTGAAGCTTCTGTGAGTTTGTTGATTTCCTTTCTTTCTTTTCCTTGTTTGCACTTCTCGTTATTTCAGTGCAGTTGAAATTATCAATATTGTTGTTGCTGTTAGTTAAAAAAATGTTTGACTTCTTTTAAAGAAGGAGAAGAAAGAAAAAAATGAAAATTTTCTGTCCATCTATTTGTTTGTTTGTCGTTTTTATTCCAAGGAGTGGTTAAATGGTTAAGGAAAGTGGGCATGGGGCCACCACCTCAAAGGAAAACAGGGAGGGGAAAAACTAGAAAAACTTGGAGATTCCGTGACATTTTAGGGTGCTCTATTAATCATATGGAGGTTGAGGGGAATAGTCTTTGAAGTCGTTTCAAGTGGTGAGGGTTAAAGGATTGATATACAGATATTTTTGGGAAATTGGTTTTTTTAGGTATTAAGAATTTTTTTAAGATATTAAAGCAGTACAATAAATGCTTTAAAGTATAATTTAAATATTTAAACTAAAATTTTTGGATTGCAGAATTTTTATAATATTTTATTATATACAATAATAACATTTAAAATAACCTCTACTTTTACCAGAAGTTCCTAAGCTTTTTTCATTTTATAAAATTCCACAACTTTTCAGGTGCCCTTACTCCAAGATAATTATGTATTCAAAAACATATACTAGATACTTAATCATATACTTTATGCCATCTGCTACTGTTGACTTCCACATTTTTTAAATTGTTTTCCTTTCCCCTTTTAACAACAATTGGCGGGCAATAGTTAATTCCATCATAATTATTTCTATTCATCAGTCTGTGTACCCATGCATCTAGCGATCTATTCAACCAGAGATAGATCAAAGTGTGTAAACAAATCGACAATCATTGCATACATTTAACCCTTTGAGAGAAGTGCTAACAAAGGAAAAAACTTGAAAAATATTCTCGTAGTTTGGTGTTATTAATTCATTTGCGTGCTGCTAATGAATTGCCTCAGTCGAGTGTATTCAGCAGATACATGTGGCATCCGAAAAGTAGTGCAGTTCATGCCAGTGTATCTTTTTTTGGGAGTGTTCTCTCTCCCTGCTTTGGAGACATTTTAAGTTTACTTAAAGAAATTTTGGACCAAAAGAAAAGGGCCTCTAAGTGGAGGCGAACCAGAAGCTATATCCCCCATGGCTTCCCCTAATCTTCTCGAAAGATCAACAAAGAGCACACGTACTAATTCCGTCATTCATTTGTACGTTAATTTGTACAACTTGTCGTCGTTTGCGCCGTTCGTCCGTTTTCGTTTTGGTTTCGTTCGGTTTCGTTTCGTATAAATGTGCGAGATTTCAAATAGAGCAAAATGTAGTTCAGATCTCTGGGGTATATACAAACAGATATACATATGTACATATATGCAGCTAGCTGGGCTAGCTGATAATGGGTAATCTCCATCCGAGTGTTAGCGTGTGTTAGAGAAACAAACAGAGGCGGAGGAATACACATAGGTATAGGAATGCTCTGCTACATATCCCGCAGATCGCTAAACATGATGATCTTCGGCGTAGATGTTGTATCTATGACAGGTCCCTGCTAATGTCCACTAATTAAACGAATTTCGGTTTGTTGTTTCTTATGGATTTTCGATTTTCATCGCCTTTTGGTGGTGCATTTTAGAGGGCAGAAAACTTTAACTCAACTTCTTGTAGTTGATGTATGCCCAAGGCCGGTCACCGATGGATTTTGATAAGAAACTCGTGTGTACCTACATATAGAATATGAAATTCTTCGGACCGTGTGTGTTTGCTTGGTGATATGTGCAGCAGAGTCCCGATAAGGTGAGCCATATTTGCCAGCACACGGCGGAGAACCTAAAATCCGAAATCCATTTTTCGCTGCCTGCGACATTTCAGAAATGCCAAAGCAAATAAATTTTCGGTTAGGGTTAGGTACAGAGGCGCATGGATGTACACTGAGGAAATTTCAAAAGCAAATACTAGTAATATTTAAAAAGTGGAATACATATTTTTTAATAAAAATATGAAGTTTTAAAGTTTTTATATCAAGAAATTTATTGATCTTTAGATTTAATTTGTTAAATGAATTTGTAAGATTATTCTCTTAAATGTTTTCTGATTTTTTAAAGACGTTCCCATTTTTAAAAAGGTCTTATATCTTCTATATAAAAGATCTAATGCATATTGTGCGAATAAATCTGATTAAATACATGATTAATAAAGTATAAATCAGTCTTAAATTAAGAATATATTCTCCTTTATTTTTTCCCCTGCATATTCAATATAGGTGTATATGCAGCGATATATATAGAGGTGTCCGCCGTTGGTTCTTTGACAGAATGACATCTCGTGATGGGCAACATTGTTGGAACTATCTAAAGCAAGGCGATTCATATTTTTGGGTTCGAAAATGCGTTCACCCACACTTTCAGATTCATTTGGCGCTTTGTCTTTCTTTTGTTGTACTCGGAAATGTTGCTGGGTGTTGGATGGATGGATGGTGGACCCTTGGGTCAGACGGGGGTTTTCCGAGGGGGTCAACCCAGTCGCCTCGCCATAATTTATGGGGCTCGAACACGTTTCGCAGAGGAACTCTCTGAATGGGAATGACGTTTCCGCCTTGTAGCCACAGCCAGAAGCTACAAAGTAGAAGACACATCCATCTATTCATCCAATATATATATTTGTGTGCCGAGTTATTTGTCTATGGCTTTCGGATTTGGATTCGAAATTCGGATTTTCTCCTGCCACCGCTTCCTAGTTCTTCTTCATGTCACATGATGACAGGCGACAGTTTTTCTGTGTTCGTTCTATTTCGTTCGAAGAAATTAAGTTTTTTGGGTTCCTTAACTTTGAGTATACATTTCCCCTGGTTCTGTTCTTTGGCATTTCTGGGCCCTGACTCACCGCCAAAATGGCCAAAATAGTACACGAATCCCCTTGGCTTTAGTGTACAGTCAAATTCGGTTAAATTATTCTGATACGAAGCGCTTTGTAGTTGATCAGTTGTTGATCTCGCCGAAGGTTGTCCATCGTTGGAACTCTATATTAGTTCGTTAGCATCAATGAAGGTCAGCGGGAAATTTTGGGCAGCTGAAAGGGTTGACAATGTCGTGATCAGGCTTATAGTAAACAGTTCATTGCGTATTGCTTATAATAAATAAATATTAGAGGAAATTATTTAACCAAATAGTGAATATTTTTTTAAATGGATAATTTAATAAATATAATAATTTGTATACAAATAAATACATTCGATTGAATAAATATGCATGTTATTATCTTAAAAATTCATTTTTCATATTTAAAATAAAAAATAATCCCATTAATTAAACATCAAGATATAAAAGATTACGCCTAGTTCCATAAATAACATTCATTCTTTTTATATAGTGCAAATAATGTCAATAAAAAACTATTTAAATAGGCTCGATGATGATCAGTTTTCGTATTTTAATTATTCTGTTTACTCGCGGCAATTAATTGAGTGTGAACCTTATCAGCGCAGATACTTTTTGTTTCGTTCTAATCGGAATAAAACATGAGGTCCAAACTGGTGCTGGTTGCCACCTGGGTTTTGAATTTAATATTTATTATTATTATTTATTTTGTGAAGACCAATTTCAAGGCGGACCCATTGACCCCCCTTTCCTCTTGCCCCTCTAACCGCCAAAAATGGCTAAAGTGCACAAAAAGTTCTCGAGTCTTGCCGAGCTCTGTTCTCTATTCTTGATTCTACAGTTTTGTGTTTATTTATACAAATTACAGAAAAGAAATAAAAGCAAAAACAACTATAACAAACTAACAAAAATTTCCACACATTAAAAAGGTTTTCATAGCTATGAAATCAACTCACGTGAGCGCTGCTGCAGTCGACGTCGCTGTTAGAAATAATAACAAAAAAAAAAAAAAAAAAACAAATAGCGAAAAAAAAAGCACAACCGAAATAGTGAAAAATAAAGAAACTGGCAGATAAATCAGAGAGGGAGAGCGAAAGACAGAACCTAAAAACATTGAAATGAACGCTATAGTTGCCGCAGTGCCAAACACAGGCAAAAGATACAGATACAGATACAGATACGGATACAGATACGGCTACACTAGCAGATACATCTACGGATACTCGTACAACCACAAACGTCAGCGTTTTGGTTCCATTGACGTAATAGCCAAGCAGAGAGCAAAAAACAAAAATAAAAAACACCGACTTTTGCATGAGTAAATTGAAATGAAGCAAAATAAATAAAAATTGGCCGGCTAGCGATCTCTCAGATACTCAGATACTTCTAAGCGAGAGATACTTGTTCTGGACGACACAGAGAGCGAGAGAGAGAGAGAGAGAGAGCGCGAGCCATGTGAACTTTGAAACGCAGTGGAAAATGCCAAAAGTTTGGCGCGAGTGTGAGTGAGAGAGAGGCCAGGCCAAGTGATTAGACGGCAATTAGAGGCATTGGAAAGGGAGGGGGCCATTCAGAGAGCAAGAGAGAGTGGCAATCAAGCTTTAATTTAAGTTTAAGCTTAAGCTTGTCAAGTGTATTTCCACGATTAAAACTTCAAATTGCATTGTAACTGGATATTAGCTAATTATAATATTGAAAAACCATATATCTCAAGACCAAATTATAGCTATAAAAAGTAAATTTCCTTAGTAGATTGGGAATTATTAGGGCACAGCATAATTTTAAATTTCTTTCAAACATCTTGATATACAATTAACACATATTGATCGGTTTTAGCTTTAAATTATGTCGTAGGCCTATAATTCTCAACTGGTTTTGTCATAAATTTTTATTTTTAAAAAAGGGGTTAGGCTTTAAAAAGTATTTAGAAAATATAAATATTTGTAACCTAATGAGGCGTCAATATTTAAATATTTTCCTAAAGCCCTTTTTGTTTTCAACAATTGTTTTTTTTGTTTTTTTTTTTTGAGTTGCGCGCGCCGTTTGCCAAAAATAAAAATCCCAACACGCGGGAGAGAAACCGCCGCGTGAGCGCCAACGTGCGAGAGCGGTGTATCTCAATCCGAGCACACTATGAATCTGTATCTGTGAGTTCGCCCTTAGCCGCTCTCTGTAGCTCGCGCTCTCAGATTCTCTCGCGGGCGGCGTGTTTCTACACTTTGCAAGCGTGTGCCAGTCAGAAGTTAGTTGAACATTCAGCGCCACAAAAGCCACGCTAAAAACATAACAATCAAAAAATCAAAATTTACTAAAAAATTAATTTTGTTTAAACTCAAAAATTGGCAATATTTTTTGAGCAATTAAAAGAGCAAAAGCAACCCAAAACTAATTATAATGAGAGCTTTACCGAGAGCTAAAGTTCAATTAAGACCAACCGAAAAGCACGTGTCACTGCCAAGCAGTTGAAACAAATAAAATCCAAGCAAAGTGAAATATTAATGTGGAACTCTCAACAAAATAAAAATTAAGAAATATAATTCACAAAAATTAGCGCGTGTTTGTAGGTTTGTCTGCGTGGAAACATCGGAATAAATATATATATCTTAGTGGGTTTGTGTGTGTGATTAGGTGCGAGTGTGTGCGTGAGTGTAATGTTCAAGTTTTGTTCATAGTGCAAAAAGCAGTGTAAAACAAACAGAAACAACAATCAGCTGACTTGCGCGCACTCTCTCCCTCTATCTCTCTTTTACTCTCGTACTCGGCCTTTCTCTCCTGCACTCTCTAGTCTCCACTACCTCTCGCTCTAGCGGGAAATGCACCGCCGAGTGCAACGGTGAATAAGAAAGCTTCGGCGTGTAGAGTTGGCCCCACTTCCGCATCCTCCTCGCGCGTTTACGTGTATTTCTTTCGGCGACCTTTCGAACTTCGAATTCGGCATTGGTATTGGTAGTGGTGGTGCCTGTATAGGCGCTTGTCACATGCGCGCTACGTCGACAGCGACGCCGGCAGCGGACACGAAGACACGCCGACACCCACACAACGCAGCGAACGAACCGAGCCGAGCAGCCGAGCGTCGCGCAGTCATGGTTTTTACAGTAAAAACAGCGGCGGCGGCAGCGAGTCACACGTCGAGCGTCGTTCGTTGAGATACAAACGCACGGATACGCGCGGATACAAGAGCAACGCACCGCATAAACCTTCTTCTCCTCTCCAGAAAGCAGAAAGGATACCAAATAGTTTCAATATAACCGATTCCGCAGAAAGTAACATTAAATTAAATACAAATAAAACGTAAAATCGCAAGAAATAAATCGCATAAAATATAATATATATTCAGATAATGTGTGTCTTTGTGTGTGTGTTGTTGTTCTGATTCCGATTCCGAATCCGTTTCTGTTGTCAACATTTTTCATCGATTTTCCCTGTCGGGCGCTCGTCGTTTTTTCGCGAACTCTCTCTCCCTCTCTCTTCCCGTCGCACCTCGCTCGCATCCTGTCGTTCGTTCGTTCGTTCGTGTGTGTGTGTGTGCGCTACGCGTGTGTGATCGCCACCCACACTGCTCACCTACACACCTGCATCTATATACCTGTGTACCGCAATTCTCCAAAAGCTATTGCAGCTTCCTCTTCTTCGTCACCGCCAGCTATCTGCCATCTCAGTCGCACGCCGGGCGACGAAACGAAACAAAAACTATTGCAAATGCCATATTAGTGCTTTATAACTGTACAATAAGAGATATATCACAAAAAAAAAAGAAGAAGAAACATACACACACACACCTACCAAGATATAAATACCAAATATACATATGTGTATATATGTATAGCGAAGAAAGCAAAGGAGAACTTTACCCAAAAAGCAATTGATTTTATTTTTAGTGCCGCCAGAAAAATAGAAAAAAAGCCTAACAACAAAATTTCAGCAGCGTTTCATCGGCAGCAGCGTTAAACGTTTTTCAAACTGAAAACTGTCAACAAAATAAAACCACAAAAAAGAAAAAAAAAAAAGAACGACGAAACGGAAAGAGGAAAATAGAAAATAGAAAAGCCACAGAGAGCAAAATAAATGCAGCAACTAAACTAAACGCATTCGGCATTTGCAGCAACGGCAGCAGGAAAAGACGCTATAAAAATAGCTTAATTAGCCAATGAAACAACAAATTCAATTACAAATTAAAATAAACACACAAAAAACCAACTAAAAAGTAACCAAAAAGTCAGCGAAACCTTTGACAAAAAACAAAATAAAAACGTACTTTTAACATAACTCAACATAGAACGAAAGCCCAGCTAACAGATACATGAATTAGTTTTTAAAGCAACCCCTACAAAAAATTCTTGTTGTACTCGCAAACGTTGTTGTTAAAACTAAAAAATACAAATAACATAAACACTAAGTTGAAGCAGAAGCGTTTAAGAATTGTTGAATGAATTCGCGGTGCCTTTATTTATAGCAAGCATAACAAAATCCAACAGAAAAGTAATAATATACACACATATATAAATACAAATATATATATATCTATATACAGCTCTATATATAAATATCTATGTAAAAATCTATAGAGAAAGATCGTATATATATATAGACGAAGCAATAAAACGTAACGGGAACGTGCAATATTTTCAAAGGTTTAATTAAATTAATTTCGATTGTGATTTAAATAAAACAACAACAAAGCAAAACAAAATACGGCAACAACAAATAACTAAACTAAGCAACCAAATCAAAATAATCATAATAAAAAAGTGAGAACAACACAAAAATTCGTTGGTTATAATTAAATAATTGATTAATTATTAATTGTTATTGTTGTGAGATTAACATCATTATTATTAAAATTATAATTGCCATTCAACAATTATAAATTTTGTTGCCATTGTGAAAACGCACTCAAACAAACAAAATATAAATAAAAATAAAATAAAAAGAATAAACAGCGAGAAATAACTAGCAAAAAAAGCAAACAGCAAACTGCAGGCCAACAAAAAACCCGCAACAAGACACTTTTCTGTTCGTGTATAATCACAAAATTTCGGAAATTTTTATGAAAAAATGAGCGACAGGGAGCGATCGTCCCCAACACTGATCGAAACTGGTTTAAAAAACTTAATTGGCGGCCGTGATGGTAACTATCCACTGATCAGCGGCATTAATGGTGAGTTCAAAAGCACAAACCGAAACGAAATCAAAGGGAAATAGTTCTGTAGTTTCGTAATAATAATAATAATAGTACTCGAAAGTGCAGGTCTGCAATTGAAATGTTCTCCAAAATAGTGGGGTAATAAAAGAATCATTACCCGCAAGTGCCGGCAATCTGTTCCCACTTGAAAACATCGAGAGAAAAAAAAAGACACTCTGAAGCTTTCAAAGTCATAAAATACGAATTATATTTTGATTGGGTCATCGCACGTCCGGAAATGTATGCAAAATAAGCGAGGGAATAGGGGAGGTTTTTTTTGGTAGGGGCTTAAAAACATCAACATCAGGCAGTCAGGGTTTTCAGACACGTTCCGTGCAAGACCCAAATCCAAATTAATGGCAGAATAATGTTTAAAATAAAACCAAAACATTTTTCATTTCTTGCCAAACATAAATCAATTCGAGGCGGAGGTGGGCCTGTATTTCTGGGGGGATGGTTTCTGACCCATTACTACCACTCATCGTTGAAGTAATATATAGAAGTATCTATTCTATCGCCTCAAATCAAAATTGATAAGGCTGTTAACCCACAAGCGTCCACAAGGGGGGAACACTTGAGCCGAGGGTTGGCGCAAGGTTAAAGTGTATGAGAGCACGGTCAAGCGAGTGTCGCATGTACTCGTCGTCGTAGTTGCGGGGTCATTGAAGTCCGTTGAACGTGAGCGCTGTGACCCCCTTCCCAGATCCGCCTCGATTAACCCCCCTTCGGACGCCGGACACCGAGCTGTTGCCGTTATCAGTGCCTTAACCCATTGGGCAATCTGGGACAGCAATCGATTGGCTTGAAAAATAATTAGTTTTAAGTGTCTTGATGAAGGCTTTTTTGGGTTAAACTTAATTATAATTAATGTTTGGGGAAATTTTGGTTATGCTTTTAGTGGAATTTTCCATTTGGGGATGTTTGTTTTATGAATTAAATTCTAAATTTTATGAATAGGAATATAAAAGGGTTTCAATAATAATAGTTTATGACTTTTATAATATTTTTAAAATGGAATAACAATATATTTTGAATTTTATAATTATTAAAATCTAAATTTAGATTATTTTTGAGATTTTATGCTTTTAAATGTGCGGTTTTTTTTTTATTTATAATAATTTTAATAAAGAAAAACATTAATTAGCTTCTAAAATGGATTAATTTATTATAAGTTCTTATAATTAACAATATTATAAATAAAATGCTATATAAACAACCTTATAAATATCCTAATTTATATCATTCTCGAGAACCTTTTCTTATTTTATTTTTTTCTTAAATATATATATATATTTCCTGAAATCCTTGTGATTCCTTTATTTATGCTCTCAAGGCTGTCATTTATCTTACTTTGCTGCAATTGTTATCCACTTTTCATTGCATTTCAATTCCAATTTCTTTTTCCAAGCAATTACACAGCAATTTTACTACGCCCTCGTGCTGACTGCTTTTCTTCAGTTTCCCCTTACTCCCCACCGCCAAATCTAGACCCGTAAACCCCTTTTTAAATCTGTTGCAAAGACATTTGCATAAGAAAGGAATTGGTCTTGACCAGCATATGGCTTCGAAAACCATCTCTGTGGGGAAAAAAGAATTCAATTCAGAAAGCATTTTAATTCTCTTATTTTCTGTTGCATTTTTTTTGCTGGTTTCACATCTGCCCCGCCCACTGAGAAGCGCCCACTTGGCCTGCGGCAACGTAACCAGAAATCAATAGCATAAAAGCAGAACGAGAAAATGCCATTAAAAAGTGTCATAATCGGTCAGCATAATGAAAAGCATTTTCTACCAAGTATGGGCGCAAGTTTTCCTATCCCCTTTTCTCCTCCCAGCAAACGCCACGTTTTTGTTTCCATAAATCAATAAGCGGAAACCCCTTTGGGAAACCTTCTCCCATGTCTAGCCAAAAAGTTGTTATTTTATTTTATAATTTATTGTAGCATAATTTTTGAGGCCTCTGTATTAGTAAACTAGTTTTTTTTTTCTGGTTAATTTTCCCTTAGTTCTTATCAGCCATGCGGTGTTGTGTGTTAACAAGCATTTGATTACCGCATTAAAAAAAAAACAACACTTTATAAAACACACTAGTTAAATACGGCAAAATAAACATCGGGGGGGATGGAAAAGAGGCAGGAACAGGCTGATAAGCTACAGATAGCCAGGGGCAAGTGTGAAGAGCGTGGGTTACACAGCAACAACAAAATGTAATAAATATAATAAAGTAACATTTAAAGGAAAAGCTAGACAAAACTGTTAACAAAATAAAAGTAAATTAAAGAAAAGTAAAGAATCTTAAAACTTTAAAATCTCTTTTAAAGTATATACAATTCTTTCAGTGTAAAGTGCTTTTAGTGGAGGGACAAGGGAAGTAATCAGCCTAGTGATAAGCCAAACTAGAAAATCTTACATGAACCAAGTGGCAAAGGGGCGGAGATAAGATTACTGGACTTTGGGTGCTAAGAAGTCGCTCTCGTCTGGCACAAATCACTCGTCTGCCCACATAAATTCTTCGAGTGTAACCAACTAATAAAAAAATACAAAAACTAACAACTGCGTGTGCCATTGTCGTCGAGGGCAAAGCTCAAAAGTTGGTTTTTAGTTCCTTTTTGATAAGCAGCAGCACATTTGATTTGTATCTAGCTGGATGAGTGGCGATCCAATTCAAAAGGCGGATGACTCGTCGGTACAGAGGGGATTTATGTAGAAGATACCAGTTGGATCCAAGTCCAAGTCATTTGCTTATTAAGACTCATAGAGCTAGATTTCTGCCTTTAATTTATGGGGGGAACTTTCCATATATTTTCCTGAAAAATAAAAATATTTGAGTGATATATGAAAGATAATATAGTGAATTAATTTTAAGATATAATTAACACAAAATGTTAAGCACAAGGAAAGGATTTAGTTGGTTAAGATTGAGGAATTTTAAGACATTTAAACAAACAGTATTTAAAAGAAAAATAAACACATTTTATATTAATGAATTTATAAAACACTTTCAATTGAAATGTATCTTTCCCTGTTTATCTTTGTATTTAATTTAAATTGCAAACGAATTGTTTTTAGCTCAACTAAACTTTAAATAGAAACCTAATTGATTGTCATCACATTTGTGTTTAGTTCGATTGAATTATGCAGCCAAATGAATGCATTATTTCAAGTGGAATTTAAAATGCTATCTGCAAATGCCATCCATCTATCCCGCTCGGTAACCACGCTGTCTCTGTCCCGGGCTGATGGGCAATTATATTTTATTCGATTTGCATGTCAATGTTGCATAAAACGAAGCGCCGGCAATTGGCATAAATAAATGACAGCTCGAATTGTTGTTTGACCGAGTAAACAAGTGGCAGGGATTGACTATCTCGCCGGCTCTCGTAGCATTTCCATGCCTTCATTATTGATTGCAAATTAGCAGCAAATCATTAATCTAGCATTTTTTTCAATGACATAATCCATAGAAAAGGTGACAATCGGGTGTGTGTGCTGCGTCAATTGATTGCTAATGTGAATCAATGTTTATATAATCGCACAAATGCAGTGATAACCTGGCTCTTAATGCGTGTCACCAGCACCATCCTTGAAGGCAGATAGAGATTAAAAATCAGCCAAGTGCAAACAGAACTTGGGCTGGAAATCCGGCTTGCCTATGGAAAAGTTAGCCAAAAACCCATTGATTCATTGACTTGGCTTTATGCAATTAAAAGTTTTAATTGAAAAACCTGCCCTGAATGGCGGCGGCGACTAGCAAGAAGTCTCAAGACAAAATCACATCCGTAGCAGCATTCTTTTTTTTTTGCATTTTTAATTAAGCGAAATGTGTGA